TAAAGGAAAGAGACACACAACTACAGGATGAACGGGCGCAACCGAGCCAACCTACATTTTTTGTATTTTTAGTATAGGAACGACGGGGATTCACCAGTAGATAGTCGCACACAGGCTGAGTCGAACTCTGTTGACCTCAGGCTGACTCCACCTGTCCTCAACGCCACCCAATAGCTGCTGGGACTTACACAGCGCTGAGCCCACTGAGCACCAGGCCCTTCTTTTTTTTCCGAGATCGCTCTGCTCTGTGTGCCGCAGGCTCTCTTGGAGAGTGCATGGTAGGCAGCGAGTCTCGGTTTCACGTGGCAAGCCCCGGTGCGCGCGACCGGGATCGTCATGACTCGATGCTCCTACTCACCCACGGCCGTGACACATGACTGGAGGGACCTGTGGGACACCCACGGCCGTGACACATGACTGGAGGGACCTGTGGGACACCCACGGCCATGACACATGGCTGGAGAGACCTGTGGGACACCCACGGCCGTGACACATGGCTGGAGGGACCTGTGGGTCACCCACGGCCGTGACACATGACTGGAGGGACCTGTGGGACACCCACGGCCGTGACACATGGCTGGAGAGACCTGTGGGACACCCACGGCCGTGACACATGGCTGGAGGGACCTGTGGGACACCCACGGCCGTGACACCAGTGACTGGAGGGACCTGTGGGTCACCACGGCCGTGACACCAGTGACTGTAGAGACCTGTGGGACAACACCCATGGCCGTGACACATGACTGGAGAGACCTGTGGGTCACCACGGCCGTAACACCAGTGACTAGAGAGACCTGTGGGACAACACCCAGGACGTGGCACGTGTACCTGACACCCAAAAGACAGAGTGGGACATCAGAAAAAATTGAGAAATACTCTTCCAGAAATGGAACTCTAAGAAAGAAAAAGAAAACAAATATTTGCAGAAATAACAATCAAGACTTCAAAATCTGTTACAAGGCACCCACCCTCAGGTCGAGGTAGCTCAGTTTAGAAAACCAGACCCAGGTACATCACAAACGGCCAAAGTCCAAAAATAAAAGAAAATCATTTATATAGACAGAGGTAAGAGATTTCATATTAAAGAAAACAGAAGAATGAGAAAATTCCTCATCAGAAACAACAGAAAGCAGGCGTGAAGAGGACAACTTTAACGTGCCCAAAGAAAAACACAGTCCACTCAGAATTCTATATCCTGTAAAAATGCACTTCAGAAAAGGAGGAGGAATTAGGGCCTTTTGATCCGTATAAGAGCTAAACCCAAGCGAATGTCACCGCAGAGAAACTACAAGACAACACAAGTTAAATACGGCACTTCAGACTCAAAGACAATTATCCCTCTTGCCAACATGGAGTCGGAACAAAGCACTTAAGAGCACCAGAAAGGTACAGAACTACGCACATCTTCAAAGGCGATGGAAAACAAGATCCCACTACACACCGATTCGAATGGCCAAACGCAAACGCTGACACCACCAAACACGGGGGAGGACACGGGCCTCGGGAGCTCACTCGTTGCTGGTGGGTATGACACGGCAGGGCCGCGGGAGGATAGTTGGGCAGTTTCTCACTAAACAGGCTCTTATCACACAGTCCGGCAATCGGGCTTCTTTATTCACCCAAATGGGCCGAAAAGTTGTGTCAAAACAAAAACCTGCACGACGGCAGCTAGATGCGTAACTGCCAACGCGCGGACGCTACTAAGACGTCCTTCAACGGGGATGCAGATGAATGAGCTGCAGCCCACGCCCAGCGTGGAGTTTCACTCAGCGCTAAAAAGACACGAAAATACATGGCGAAGCCTTCCATGAATATAAAAGCAGCCAGTCTCAAAGGCTGTTACGTAGCGTACGTGTACATAAAACGTGTCCTCGTCAGACCGCTCAGGACACCAAAGCATGTCCTCATCAGACTGCTCAAAACCAGGGGCAGTGAAAACTTTTCAAAGCAGTTGGAGGGAAAAACCGAGAGGACTGGAGATTTCCTGCTGGAGCCAGGGCAAGCCGGAGACAGAACGCCTTGCACGTCTGAAGAAAACGTCAGCAGGCCGCGGCGCTGCCATGAAAACTGCTCCACAGCCCATCCCCAAACGCCCAGGCTGCCCAGGGGCTGGCCCTGGTTCTCACAGCTCCTGGCACTGGCTCACTCACAAGACCCCTGACTCTCCCACACCCATCGTGCAACCGTTCCTGGTCCATCTTCCCTCAGCTACAGTCCCTCAGGCCAAGCCAGTCACCTCCCAGCGGGGGGCCAGCCCTCCTCACGTCCCATCACCATGCATGCCCACATTTCCCTCATCGATGTGGACACTATGCAACCCAGCCAGCCTGCACGGTCCCTGCAGGGCGCTATTAACAATGCAGACCTTGGCCAGGTGTGGTGGCTCACGCCTGTAATCCCAGCACTTTGGGAGGCCGAGGCGGGCGGATCATGAGGTCGAGAGATTGAGACCAGCCTGACCAACATGGGGAAACCTTGTCTCCACAGAAAAATACAAAAATTAGCCGGGCGTGGTGGCAGGGTCCTGTGGTCCCAGCCACTCAGGCGGCTGAGGCAGGAGCATCGCTTGAACTCGGGAGGCAGAGGCTGCAGTGAACCAAGATGGCACCACTGCACTCCAGCCTGGCGAGTGTAAGACTCCGTCAGAAAAAAAAAGAAAAAAAGAAAAAACACAACGCAGACGTCAAGCGGCTTCCACACCAAGAACAAATCTTAGCCTCATGCCCTACTGTCCCCACCCTGCCCAGCCGCTGCCCTCCATGCCCTCAGCTTCTCCTGTAGACCCAGGCCTCTGTCCTCTGCATCGGCTGTCACGCCTGCCAGGACCCTGCAAACTTCCAGCAAAGCAGGGCCATTCTCCTTCAGGTTCCAGCTTAACTGTCACTTCTAGGAGGCAGCGCCGACCACCTCTACCCAGACGTGGGCCCTCCTCACAACCCGTCCTCATGGCCACAGTTCCCTCATTGACATGGACATGGAGCCCACCACGTCATGCCCCCACTGCACCCCCTCGCCTCTGTGGCTCACGACTTATCCCGGATCCTCCAACAGACATGCAGGCCCCCAAGTGAGATGACAGGGACACCTGCCACCCCCAGCCCCCACCCAACCCACCACCAGGCACCCCGGGCGCCCCCAGCCCCCACCCAACCCACCACCAGGCACCCCGGGCTTCAAATCAAGTTTAATAAATAAAACAGCAAGGGGGGGTTCAAGGCAGTTATCACTTCACAGTGTGGTCCTTGGTGGGGTGAGGGATGGTCGAGTCCAACTCAGAAAGGGGCTCGAGCACAGGAGGCTGGACGACGCCCGGGACAGGGCGCGCCGCGGCCCACGGAGGACCCCACACCAACGTGTAAACAGAAACAGAAACAGACAAGGGGCCGGGGAAGAGGGACCAGGACTCCAAGCCATCTTGCTGGGAAGCTTCCCACAGAAGGAAGACCTGCAGGGCTGGGAAACAGGCTGGAGTCCGGCCCCTGCACGGCCGGCAGGGCCAGCTCCTCTCGAGGCTCCCTGCCTTGGTACCAGGGCAGGACAGCAAAGGGGGTGTAAGTCACCTGTCTCCTCAAACCCACGCCTGGGGTTGCTGAGGGGCCCCCACCCCAACCGCTCAGGATCGGGAAGCAGGGATGGAGGGGAAGAGGCAGGTGGGGGTGTAAAGTGCGGCTTTTCCTGAAGTGGAGACGATGGGGTGGGAGGGGAGGCCGGGCTGGGGGCCGGACAGCGAGGTATATGGCTCTGTGCCCCACGGGGTTGGCACTGAGTAGCAGCTGCCCACGACCCCCAGGGCTGGGGCAGCCCGCGGCCCTGCCAGGTGTGGAGAGACAGAGCCAAGCAGGGAGCGGAGGGTGCCCCGGCGGAGGCTGCTGGTGCGGGGCGGGGCGTCCTGCCCATCTCCCCGCCGGGGCAGTGACACCTTCCCTCGCCTCTGCGGGCTGGAAGGGACGAGGCGGCCGGCTCTGCCCCGCGTCCCAAAGGCCGGGTCTTTTCTGTCCACGGCTGCCTGACGGATCCCACGTGCAGGCAGCAGCCTGGACCCGGGTGGCAGTGCCGGGCGCTGACGGCGTTGGGTGTGGCTCTGGGTCCAGTCTGCATGGCCGGGGCGAGGGCGCACGGCCCAGCCACCTCACACCAGTCCTGACGTGTTCAGAAGCAGAGGAGGTGCCACCCCAAGGCCCGGGGCGGGGGAAGGGGTCAGGAAGACTGACAGAGGCGGGCCCAGCGGCAGTGCCAAGTCCAGTCTGGGCCGCATACGCCGCCCGCGGCCAGGAGTCAGCAGGTCATCACGTTACAGCTGCAGGGAAGAGACCGAGAGAGACACGGGGTGTCAGGGTGGCCCCACGTGCCTGCACAGCCCAGTGCTGAGCGCTGGACTCGAGACTCCCAGCCTTGCCTCCCCGACAACCTACAGCAGCAGGGCCCGGGTGCTCTGGGGGGGCTGGTGGCTGGAGCAGGGGTGGGAGAGCCTGGCACCTGCCCCCATCTGTGGAGCATGTGGACCACACGAATGTATTCTCCAGTCAGAAAATACATACAAGTCAAGAATAACCCTAAAGCAGCCCTGAGAGCCGCTCGTGGAGCCGCACTGTCCTTGGGGCAAACGCCTCCCACTCTCCTCAGCGCAGCCTCAGGGCTGGGGGGACCTCACTGGAGTGTCGGGGAAGCTCCGGGCATGGGGTGGCACTCACTGTGACAGGGGCTCCGAGTGTAGCCCGGGGGCCGGGCACGTGGGGTGGGCGGCCAGGAAGGGGTTCACGTCCCCAATGCCAATGAGTCCAAACTCGGTGACCGACAAAGCCACCTGCGCAGGGGCCACAGTCCCCTCCGGGTCCCCGCTCAGGTCCACACGGCTGGAGATGAGAGGCAGCTCCTCGGGCAGGGCGAAGTCCACAGCCAGCCTTGGGCTGGCGTCTGCCTCCGGAGCGATGCCAGCTGGCGGGTACGAGGCTGGGTCGGCCAGGGCTGGAGGCTGACGGGACGGGGGTCCAACGGGGGGCTCGTCCAGCTGCTGGAAGGAACAGGGCCCTGGCTCCGAGGACGGGAGGCCATCAGAGGCCACCGCAGGCTCACCGAGACCACCGGCCGTGCCATCCACACTCAGTGGGTCTGCGAAAGAGAATGCAACAGAGGGTGGGGCCGCCCACAGGCACCGGGCTGCAGCCATGCCACTCCTGTGCCAGCTCCTGCCAACCCTGCTGGGTCCAGCAAAGCCTGTGGATCCCTCCCCAAAACACCCTCCACACAACTACAGAAGAAACCAGTTACTCGGAAATCTGTGAGCCCCCAGGTTGAAGACCCCAGCTTTAGAAGGTCATAAAATCAACTGAGTTGGTCACAGCCCACATCCGTAACACCAGAGCAGAGCACAAGAGACAAGGGTGTGAGCAAGGCCTGGGGCACTGCGAGGGTCGACACGGCGTCTGGGGAAGTTCCGTTCCCACGTGCAGCCGCACCGTCCCACACGCAGCGCACAGGGCCGCACCGTCCCACGCACAGGGGCCGCACCGTCCCAAGCACAGGGCCGCACCGTCCCACACGCAGCGCACAGGGGCCGCACCGTCCCACGCACAGGGGCCGCACTGTCCCACGCACAGGGGCCGCACCATCCCACACGCAGCCGCAGCGTCCCACACGCAGCACACAGGGGCCGCACCGTCCCACGCACAGGGGCCGCACTGTCCCACGCACAGGGGCCGCACCGTCCCACACGCAGCCGCACCGTCCCACACGCAGCCGCACCGTCCCACGCACAGGGGCCGCACCGTCCCACGCACAGGGCCGCACCGTCCCACACGCAGCGCACAGGGGCCGCACCGTCCCACACGCAGCCGCACCGTCCCACGCACAGGGGCCGCACCGTCCCACACGCAGCCGCACCGTCCCAAGCACAGGGCCGCACCGTCCCACGCACAGGGGCCGCACCGTCCCACGCACAGGGGCCGCACCGTCCCACGCACAGCCGCACCGTCCCACACACGCAGCGCACAGGGGCCGCACCGTCCCACACGCAGCCGCACCGTCCCACGCACAGGGGCCGCACCGTCCCACACGCAGTCGCACCGTCTCACGCACAGGGGCCGCACCGTCCCACGCACAGGGCCGCACCGTCCCACGCGCAGCCGCACCACAGTTCCAGGAAGCAGCAGAGGGGGACGCCCTTGAGCAAACAAACCACGGAGACAACCAGATTCTGGAAACGGGGCGACCCTCCCAGCCTCAACCACCTAAACGCAGAGCCAGCAGCAAAGGACCCTCCCGTGATGGCATCGGACACTGGGAAAATCCCACCCGAGGCCCTCCTGTGCTCCGTCACGGCCTCAGGTGCAAGACGCTGGCGACGGCTCCGGACGCCCTGCCCTTCCTGAGTGTCCTGATGGCCGGAGCTAAGTCCCCACCCTGGGGCAGGCAGGCCCTCCCAGGAGACTAAGGCCTGATATGTACCCCAACCTCAGCATGCGGGGCACCCCTCCAGCAAGCCCAGAGGGTAAGCACAATCCCTGCCCGCCCTCCCTTCTCCCAGCGAGAGGTGCAGAGTGGCATCCACATCACCTGGCTGGCCCTCCACCACCCAGACGCCCACTCCCGGTGACGGCTGGCCCAGCACAGGGCACCAGCGAGGAGAGGCTCCACCTGGCCTCACTCACAGGCTCCAGACCCACGGCCGCCCCCAGGGCAGGAGACACTGCCCACGCCTCACCTGTGCGCATCCCAGTCAGGGTGTCCTGCTCTGGGCGCGGACGGCCCGGGCCATCGGGGTCGCTGCCATCCAGGTCCTGGTCTGTGTCCCTGTGGGGGGAGGGCACCATGAGGGGCAGCAGAGAGGATGGACGCCCCCACCCAGGAGGTGCTGCCCAGGCGCCCGCGTGCCCACCCCCGGCGGGGTGGCCGCCCATCGTTACTGCTGGGGAGCGCTGCACGCACGTGGTTCCGGACGGGACGTACTTCCTCCGGCCCAGCCGTGTCTGCTGGGCGAAGTAGTCGTAGCGCTCCGACTTCTTCCACAGGTAGTAGTACTCAACACACTCACCCACAGACCGTGTGCGCACCTGTGGGGAGGGGTCAGGCGCCATCTGTCCCCCGCTGCCCAGCCCCTGCCCCTGCCCCACCATCCCAGGACGACTCCTGGGACTCCGGGACAGCACAGAAGGGGCACAGCACCCACCACGCTCAGATAACGCAAGACCCCCCTGACCCATGACCCTACACAGGCCCACAGGCTACGCCCACCACGGGGAACGGGGGCTTGGAGCACCGTGGCACTGCCTCCTGTTTCAAGCCCCCTCAGAACCCCCCAGCTCCTGGCTGGAGACCCCTCTTTCCCTTCTGTAGCATCAGCCACACACACGGACCCTCCAGGCCATCTACTGCTCATCCACCCTATCCCAGACCATGAGCCCCAGGCCGGTCATGTCCACCTCATCCACCTGCTTCTCACAGGCCGGGGTGGCAGTGGGAGTGACAGCCCCGGGTCCACAGACTCCTGGACAGAGCCCCGCCCCGGGAGGAAGAGGCACGAGCCCGCAGCGTCTGCTTTCCCGCTGAACACATCCCTCCAGGCCCAGCAGATGCTTCCCAAGTGCACAGAAGACACCACAGAAGGACACACGGGTTCTGTGAACCCCAGACTCAAAATTCACAACGTAACACATAAAGGCCAAAATCACATGCACGTAAGGCTTCAGGGAGACGAGAAGGAACACACAGTGAGTGCATTCCGCGTGGCAGGTGGTAGAGAGCTGGGCGCACACCTGGCAACACCTCCAGCATCTCCACCCGGGAGGCTCGTCCCCCAGTGAGCCTGAGGCTGTGGCCACTGCTGGTGATGGCGGAAAAGCCCCCCCTCACCTGGACACGCTCTGGGCCAACAAACCCACGGCCACCCAGAACAAGGGTGCCCCGTGCTCACCGCTGCAAGAACAACGTGGGGTCCTGCCTGGGGCTGAGACCAAGACAACCTCTCTGGAGGGCAAACCTCAAATGCACGTCAGGAGGGAGCTGTTCTGCGAAGGGCCAGCCTGAAATATGCACTGGCTCCCTGTCCCGTTCCAGAGAACAGGCTGACCAACGTGTGCTGGCTACACACAGCCCCTCACGGCTGGGCCAGGACCTGCCCGGAGCTCCGGAAACACGGCCTGGAGATATAGAAACACGGCCCGGAGCCACAGAAACACGGCCCGGAGCTCCAGAAACACGGCCCGGAGATATAGAAACACGGCCCGGAGCCACAGAAACACGGCCCGGAGCTCCAGAAACACGGCCCGGAGCCACAGAAACACGGCCAGAAACACGGCCCGGAGATATAGAAACACGGCCCGGAGCCACAGAAACACGGCCCGGAGCTCCAGAAACACGGCCCGGAGCCACAGAAACACAGCCCGGAGCCATAGAAACACGGCCCGGAGATATAGAAACACGGCCCGGAGCCATAGAAACACGGCCCGGAGCCACAGAAACACGGCCCGGAGCCATAGAAACACGGCCCGGAGATACAGAAACACGGCCCGGAGCCATAGAAACACGGCCCGGAGCCACAGAAACACGGCCCGGAGCCACAGAAACACGGCCCGGAGCCATAGAAACACGGCCCGGAGATATAGAAACACGGCCCGGAGATACAGAAACACGGCCCGGAGCCATAGAAACACGGCCCGGAGATATAGAAACACGGCCCGGAGCCACAGAAACACGGC